TGCGGCGAAAAGCTCGTCTCCCGCGACGGGGCCTGAGGCGCGCGCCTTCCCTCCCCCGCGGCGTCGTCGGGGCTCTGCGGGTCGGAGAGGGATTCCCCACTCGAGAGCTCCGCGCTCGACGCGGAGAGCAGGGCGCAGCTCAGCGGCGGCAGGTTGGGCGGCATCGGGGTGGCGTCTCTTTTACCTTCGGTAGCGCGGGCGCCGGGGGTGGGATCGGCCTCCTCGTTCTCCTCACTCAGGGAGGAGTTGGAAGACACCAGTGAGGGAAGGCTGTCGCTTTCGGTATTTTCAGCTTCCAAACCGTCGCCATCATCACAGTTGGCTTGATCAGAATCCTCGTTGATGTCGTTACTACCCTCCAAAAAAGAGCCACTTCGCCCCTTTGGACTAGGGATTTCCGGGAGATGGTGGGGAACCATGGGGGTAGAAAGCGGAGGCTGAATCTGACCCGACGAAGTTTTTAGACCAGACATTTTTCTTATTTTGCTATCGGTTTGGTAAGCTTCAAGGCTATTAAATGAGTTTACATGAGCAGTTTCATTCAATGGAGGTAACTTCTGAAGGGAGTGCTTGCTGCCAAGGCCTGAGAGTCCTTCCGTTGGAGAGGGACTGTCGAGATCACCTAATTGAATCCTTCCACGAATTACTGCTCCATCGAGGATGTTACCCCCATATATCAGGGCATTCTTGACATCGTAAGGGGTGCCACGCAAAGGTTCTGCCCACAAAAACGTGTCTACAGCACAGAGTATAGTCCAACATATCAGGCGTCTGTTGTGTCTTAGAAACACCACAAAGACCGCCAACTGATGATCCTTCATGAGGGTGAAATTTAGTGGTGGTGTGTTAAAGAAATTCAAGGCGTTATGACTTCCTGAGCTCATCACGTGTGGTTCATTAGGAAATGTTCGACTAGTGAGAGGTTTCAGGACGTATTCTACCTTTTCATACACCATGCGATAGTCTATAATGGTGACTTTTAATTTATTCAAGGGAATTGCCACGTCAAACCCTTCCATTTCTTCCAGCGTAAGAGTGTAGGTTCCAGATTTTAAGTTGGAGATAACCGGGAACGGTGGGATGGGGCCGATGGACTCCGAACAAAAGCAACTATTTGAGCTACACAGCTCGCTTCTCATATTTATCATTGTGCTGGATGCACCAAGGGAGTCTTCGATGGAGGTTATATCGTTATGCTTGCCCATAACAATCCTCTCAGACTGCACATGATCCAGGTTTAATTTCACGTTCTTGATTTCGAAAGGTGGGTCCTGGAATACAGACTTACTGTCATGTCTGTAATCAGATCCGCTTCTATCTAAGTGAGGTGAGAGTGGCGTAATATCGGGGAGGGTGATCGAGTTGTTGCTGCTCAGCAGTGGACGCGAATTCAAGGGAGTATAACGGTGAAAAGACGCCGCAGTGTTCTTCACATTTGAGGAAGGAACAACCAATGTAGAAGATTTTTTGCTGTCAGCAATTAGTAATGGTATTGAATCGGTGTCGCGGTTACGCGTTTTTTCCTCTAAAAGGCTTGAGTAAAGGTACGACTCATCATTGAGGGAGGCGCTGTTTGCCGATAGTTTCTCAAGTAAATATAGCTGCTTGTGGAGAGTTTTCAACGTCCGCCGAAGCTCTAATGCATTCTCCCTAAGGCTGAGATCGTTGGTACCACCGTCACCAGGAACAAGAGATTTTTCGCTATGCTGCAAAAGTAGTGGAACCTTTACAGAAAAGCCCATAAATTGATCAGTCAACTTTTTGTAGGTCTCGCTCATCAGGCTCAAAAGTATTAGGCCAAGGGGAGGGCGAGGTAAGGGGCCATCATACTCTACACTAGAAAAGTCAGAGAGAGAACCTGAGTCGACGGAAAAATCTTGTAAACTTTCGCTTACTGTAGACTCAATTTCACTTAGGCTAGTCCCCCGGTCATCAGTAAAGTTTGAATGAAGGAGATTTTTGGCCTTTGGAATTGAAATAGACATAAGAACGATACTTTAAATTTAAATAAAGCTACAATTCTAAAACAATCTTGAAAATAAAAAAAAAATAAAAGAATAAAAGAATGCTACACACGCAAGAAAAGATCATAGATTTTTGTAAATACCAAAAAAAAAGTGAAGTAGTTTTTCCAAAAGTTTCAAACACATAAGGAGGAAAAACAATAAACATTAATAACTCAGAAAGAAAAGACGATGTTTACCCGGCGGGAAGTCCATAAGCGCGATTCAAAATGCGAGGAACGAGAGACTCAATGCACAATGAAGTCTGAGTTTGGTATCGAAACTAACGATGATAGCAATCATAGCAATGTTACTGGGTAACGTTCTGAAATAAAATACATGAAAATAAAAACACCCTCTCCGTCAGTATTAACTATTGTTAATTTCATTTTCCGTTTGCTTTAGATACAGGTTTCCTCCGTCATTAGGCTCTTAATGAGAGAGGACCCATACTAATTTAAATGAATCTATAACGCAGGCCTTTTTTACATCGCATTGTTCTACCACACGTATTATTGCCTTAGCACTTATTTGTTTGCCCAATTAGAGAAAAGGAAAGTGAAACAGAAGAGACATACACATCTGGCTGCCACACACAGGTATATATTGAACAAGAGCTCTTCCCCGTGCTTCGGCGGGGATAGGGATCGAGCACACAAGCCAAACCCTTGTGTGTAATTTTCCTGATATAGATAAATACTTTAATAATATTATTCGGTCTGAGTATCATCTCCCAACTCCAGCTTCTCCACTATAACCGGCTCCACATGATAGCACTTCTTGAGGATGGAGGTGAGCTCCTGTTTCATCTTCTTGCACTTTGAGGCCTCCCCAGTGAGCGTGCGCGACGGCTTCGCCATGACGACCTTGATGATTTTGGCGTCGCAATGGATGAGTTCCTTGCGTATCATATCCTCCTGCTGTTGCGTCGTGATCCCATCCCGCTTTAGGTTTTCCTTCGTGTGTTTCGCCGGCGGGCTAGGCGCCACGGGGATACTCTGGGGTTCATCCGCTTCCTTCTCCTGCGCCTGCTGGTCCTCAGCGGGGGCGTCGTTCTGGGGGTCGGCAGGGGCGTCATGCTGGGGCTCGGAACCTGCGTCCGCGTCTGCGTCCCCTGCGGCCGTCGAGTTGCCGTCCTTCGCCCCGCGGGCGCCGTCCTCCTCCGAGGGGCTGGGCAACGAGTGGATCACGAGGTGATCCTTCGAGGGGGATTTCGGCTCTTGTTCGGGCTCGCTGCCGGCCCCGAGACTCTGGAAGGCGGCGTAGTTTTGTCCCAGGACCTCCTGGTCAATGTACATGGTGATTTCCCAAGTTAACTGGAATTCCGGGGCTTGATTCTGGTCCTGATCCTCACCCTGAAACACACTTGTCTTCTCGTGCCGGATCATGATGGCCTTCCTCTTCGAGTTCGGGGAGCCGTGGTCCGACGCTGGGGCCGCCGTTTCACTTCCCTCCTCGGTCTGCTTGCTTCCCTGCAACGCGTGTACATCGATGTCGGCCAGTGAGATTTCCACCTTCCAGTCGGTGGTGTCGTAGATTGATACCCCAGGCAGGCTCATGATGCGCGAAAGGAACCCCTCCCCGTACGAGAGGACATCCTGCGAAGCGAATTGCATGAGGTGGAACGTCGCCGAGCAAACATTACATTGCGACGGCACCATAATGTCGTTATCACCAAGAGTGTTGGCAACACCCGAATCCGTCTTCAACTTAACCATGCCACTCTTCAGGCATGCCATTTTGAAGAGCTTCGGTATGCGGCTGATGCTCTCCCCGGGTACCGCACCGTTAGCGCAGTCTTCCATCTCGCCGTCCCTGTGCTGGTCCCACACGTCAGCAAAGCGCTGCCCATACGTGTGCGTTTCATTGCACAGTTTCGCGAGTTGCGCCACAGTTTTGCGCACGATCTTGCCAGGGTCGTCGTCCGACGTGGCCGCAGGGTCGCTGGGGTCGTGCACATGAATCGAGGCTGTCTTGCGGGCGTATTCACGGAGCACGGATGTCGGGTCCAAACCAATGAGCTTGACCAGGCGTTCTTCCCAGACTGCCTTCCCATCGGATATGCCACTGTCCGGAGCGTGGGTGGGACTGCACGTGTCAGACACGCTGTTGGAGTGGTTTGGTCTTGAAAAGCACCCGTTTCCCATTCTGAGGCTGTGACACTGAAATGCGTAGCAGCGATATTTTTTCCCTTGACGAGCTCACACAGTAATCTTGCTTGAAATAGAGGCTACCCTAGAGGAGGGGGGTATCGTTGTATGTTGACCTTCGAGAGTGGCAAGGTGTAGAAGGGGGTGGGGGGAAGGAGAGGTATACATGAAGTAGCCAGTAAAGTGTCTTAATTTCAGCTGTGCCGTTGTATTGTTTTCTATTTATAGGGTTTCAATCATTTACTTGGACCAAGAGGTAGGATTTGGTATTTATTAGTTCGCCATTCTTTATCCATTAGTTTTGATCGCGACATGTGTTAATTATAGTGTTGAGAATAAGGTTTTGTAGTTGTTTTTTAAAAATGTTTTGTTTATGTTATACGTTTGCTTTTTTGTGGATTTAATAGGTTTTAATAAGTTGTTGGTTTTAAGGGTTTTTATTATTTGTTATTTATTCCATAGTGTTTTATTCTTAATGATTCATCAGAACATAGTCTTGTAATTTTTAATGTTCGAACTGCAACCCATACGGATTCTATATATTTAAAGTATTCTGTCATAGTGTTTCTAATTTAATTCCGTATCCAATATATAAAAGCAAATATCCAACACATTTGTTTTTATTGCTATTCCTAAAGCCCATCGGACTATTGATAACATCATCATTATCTTGTGATTATTAATCATCCGGTGGCCTGGGAAGAGACCAAAAGCATCACTCGTAGAGACAAATTCAAAGCAAATTATACTAAACTAACTAGTCGGATTAATTATCAGTATTTCACAATGATAAACTTCCAAGAAAATAAAATATAGAAGAATTTAAAATAGATATTTCAGTACTCGTTTCACACCTGCGCAACTATTTTCATCCCGATTTATCTGGAAAAGACGAAACACAATAATAACAGATTATAAGCTAAGGGGTGAAAGGAGAGGGAAGAAATGAACATATAGACGTGCAAAATATACACATTTACGCTTTTTTATCGCTGAAAAACTTCCAAGCTAGCAAAACTACTCAGAAAACGAATACCTTCACGTTGCTGAACGAAAACTTTATAGTCTGAATGATCTACACATTTAGGAAGGACAGAGTACCTTAAACTGATGTGATGCAAAAACAATAATTTTATTTTTATTTAGCCGTGGGATGATAAAATTCCTGCGTTGATTTTCATAAAAAAGCTAACCAGAATATTAGTCTAATTGGACACTTTGTCCCGAATACATTCCTCAAGGATCAACTTACTATAACAAAATACATAACTTCTTTCCAATCTACTCCTTCATTTTTTATTCCATTGAGTTTCTTCATATGCGAAGTTTCAAAATTAACGCGCCATATTGCAGTAAGTAGAATGATGGATGGCATGTGCATTTTCCCAAACGTAGCGAAACCTTTTTTTTTTAGTGAAAAAGGACAACAAAGCAAAACATCCGTTTCAACCTCCCTTTCCTTTTCATAGCGACACCATAAAGGGGTGGAGGAACACTTTTCACTAACAAAAAACAAAATGTATATAACGAAATTATAATTTACCAATCTCAGTCTTAAACAACTTAGGGAGGGACATTTGAAATAATTTTCCACACGAAACAAAAATAGAACATTAAACGATGGAAAAATAAACAACGAAAACGGAATAAGAGTAATTAAAAATAAGATAAATATATGGGGGAATGGTTCACTTCCAGGACATATTAAAGCTCCAATAGTAAATTCACTCCCCTAAACAGAAACTTAGTTAAACAGATGCATTTTATGTAAGCATTATTAGAAAGAAAAGTGCAGAAATTTAAACAAGCTGATATATATCAAACTTTGTAATGAACAGATTTGCTCTGTTACTTTTTCCCTACTCCCATCGATTACACGCCTCCATCAGCCACTATCCCGATTTTGAAGGAAGCAAGAAGACTTTCGCAATCCACCCATGCGTGAAACCGATCGAACACCTCTGTCGTGTCCGTGCCAGCGTGCTCCAGAAGCACCTGAGGACCCCCAACATGGAATTTTGCGAACTCGGTGAAGTCGTACACGACGCCGCGAATGACCGCCCACAGACTTTCTTCCGAGCGGTGTTGGGCGACCTCGCGCATGTGGATCGGGCGCAGGGGTCCCCCTCCTTCGCGTTTCCCCCGAGTCGGCACCACCGCCTTCAGCCACGCCTTCGAGGGCGGCAGGTCGGGACCAAACGGGACGTGAAAAGAGGGCGAAGACGAAGACGGCGAAGAGGAAGAGGGTGACGAGAAGGAGAAGACGGCGGGGGCCCCAAACCCGTCCGGCCGGCCCTCCCCAAAGCGCACCGTGGTTAGGCCAAGAGACCCACCCTTCCCACCATGTTCGTCGCCCGCGCAGGATGCTCCCCTACCAGATGGGTGAGGCGATTCCCCTTCTGTGTGGAAATGCGGGGGAAGGGTGGGGGTCCGATCGTCCCTGAGCGTCTCATCGCGACGCTGGAGTTGAGGAAAGTGACACGACATAGGGGGATCCGCAGAAGGCCTCCCAAACACAGGGAATGAACCGTGTATGGCTGGGAGGGAGTACTGGTCGGGAGGGTGCCCAAGGATCCACGCGGGATCGTGTTCTTTTGCGAAAGGAGGTGATGGTTTCACACACGGTCTCAGGACTTGTGCGGCTTGGCTCTTACCTCCCAATTCGTCGTAACTATTTTGTTTATCATTGCGGTCTCCATATCTCTCCGGATCGCCATTTTGGTCTTGCAGGGCTTCACATTTCTCTTGTTGAGGGGGGCACAGCTTGTCTTTATGAGGCTTCAGCTGCGACGTCTCTGAAAAGAACGGCATGGGAACTTCTGTCTTTGGGACGGCGCAAACATCGAGAGTATCGACAGGGGCTGTGTACGCAATAATATCCGCCATACCATGCGTCTGTAGTGTACAAGAGGCAATCTGAGCGCGATTGCTTTCCTTAGTAGAAACTACCTCTTGGACGATGGGTAGAAGTAGTTTTGTCTCGTTTGCAGTCTCATCATCGCCTTCATGGTTGTGGAGGGGCTGTGCGGATGGGGGTGTGCTCTTCACCTCGGTCTTCTCCAGGGATATGACGTCTACCATATTGCTTTCAAAATGTTTTTTCAAACCGTCAAGAGACGCAGCATGGGTGGGCAACGTGGTATCTCTGAGAACATATGAGCTGATGTGTTTTTGGTTCAAGGGGAAGGAGAAATTTTCGTCCGCTTCTGATGTTCTCTGCATTTTGCGCCGTGTTTGAGGATTCAAGCTCACCACAGACATTTGAGAAGCATTTCTATGACGATCGCAAACACGGGTCTCCTCCTCTTCGGAGTTGCTTTTCACGAGATTACCTGCCTCCCACAAGGGGTCATCACCATTTCCAGCGTCGGCAGCGTTGCTAGTGTGACTGTCCGCGTAAGCAGCAGGCTTTTGCGGCGTGCCATGAAGGACTAGCCCGGTTTCGCTTTCGCATCGCGTGGAGTCAGCCAACGTACCTGGTACGTTTGATGTTTGCTTGTCGTATACCGGGGAATTGGTAGGAGTGTTGGATGCTTGCGAGATACGGGAGATGTCCTGCTCTAATACAAAGTTGCCCTTGGAGATAGTCGCTTTGATTAGAGTGGAGCTTACTGCCACATCATCGGGCTTCGTGTCTATCGCACTCTTTTGAAGTTCCGATAGTATTGGAGTTGCATCCCTCGAAAACCTATTAAGCAAATAATTGAGTATATAAATCGCCATGATGCCTGTATCACGGATTATAATCCAAAGTTTTTACACCAATAAATAAATGTTGAATAACAAATTTTCTACTCTTTTATCAAAAATAATGTTTCCTCCTCTTTTCAAAAATACAAAGAAAGTAAATATATATAAATGAGACGAAATGTTTGCCGAGTGACTCCTTTTCCTAGATAAAAACACCGTGAAAAGCTGGCTGCGTTTAAAGAGTTTAGATGCAAGGCTGGTAAACCTATAGCTCAAAAAGCATTAATAACCCTTCAAAGAAAAAAGAATTAGAATTAGTGGCGACGTAATACTAGAAGACAAATAAAACGGGAAAAAATAGAAAAAGGCTAATGCTTTACAATGCTGCAAGATTGTGCTAGAAGCCCTTATATAATGTCTCTTTTCGGTGTTCAGTTGTAAGAATAGTACTTTTTGTGGAAAACCATACTATCCCTACCCCCAAAGATATATAACTATATAAATATCTGTATAAGGTAAATATAGAATAATAATATCTAATCAACTCCCTAAATTGACTACACCGTTGCCAAACAAAGACTCACACTATGTCCTTTTTATAAACCACTTACCCGATTTAGGGATAACAAATGAAGCATAGATGAATGATGAAAAAAAGAAGGAAAGTAACGCACCAAAAAGGATGATTCAATGCAATTCGTGTAATATTATTTGCACTTTTTTTTTAAGCCATGCAACGTGCTTTAAAGCTAAAGTGTCAATTGCATGGGGGAAGTAATGGTCATTTTTGCAGCTCAGAGAACTATAATTAAGCAATTATATATTATGCAGATAGATATACACTATCGTAATAGCTTTTTTCTCCATTGAAGCGTATTTGGTGCTTACGTTCAAAAAAAATCGTATGAATGGGATACGTCTCGAGTAAATAAGTTTGGAAAATAATTTTTCAAACTTGCAAAAAGAATAGAAAGAAGATGCTAGGCAATCAGCACACAGTATCCAATATCGAGAACTATAAAGTGAGAAAGTTAATCCAAAGAAGCAGATCAATTCTTGAAGCCAAAAAGAGGGTTAGAACTATCGATTCATTTGCCTAACCGTCGATGGATAATTCTGTAGTGTGCGCATTGCACTGTGTCATAAATTTCACTTCCTTTTTTTTTTTACATTATACGCCACCATATCTAAATCAAGGAGCTAATGCATAATCGCTCACATAAAGCACGTGGTTCCTATCCTACCCCCTTCTCGATCTTCGCATTTCTCAACGGCCTATGCATCATTCTTCAATCCATAGGGCCGCATGGCGACCTTCACCCGCATCACTTTCTTCCCCGCTCGGTCACCCCCTGCGGGGAGGGGAAGGGTCTGAATGTGAAACCGGAACGGCCCGGTCAACGGGGCGGGAAGCCATCCGGCGTCCCCCCTCCCAACTCCAAGTGGCCTCCCGTCCTGCGCACTGACCGCCCTCCCTGTGAGAGGACGGGGATGAGGCCCTGGACTGTCCCAGCGCTCGGACCGCCCGTTGTGTGACATGGAAGGGCTGGAGTTCCCTTTCCGTCCGGCCTGGGCCTTGGGTTCCGTTGGGACGATCCCGTCCGGACTCCCCAGAGAGTCCTCTGAGGAGAGGTCCGAGACGGCGTCAAGGGGTGCAGGGGGGACGGCCCGTGGGCGTCCTTGCGTGGTCGGGCTACAGTCCTTTCCCCGCATCAACTCCACCGCGCGGGTCATCTTTCCCGCCACGAGCATCCCCTGCGCGTCAGTCGTGTGCGGCCGCCAGAAAGGGCAGGAGACATAGCCGAGGGCCTCCGAAGGGGCCGCGCTGGGCTGCCCTTCGCGTGGCGCGTTCCCCTTGTAGGTGGGCACCTCGCGAGTCCCCCAGTCCTCCCAGCGAATTTCCGCATTCGTGCCGTGCGGAGGCGGGACGGGGGTGGGAGAGATCAGCCGGGCCGGTTCCTTTTGCTTCTCAGGGAAGCACCGTAGGCGTTCTTCGACAATTTTGGTCAACACCACCGCATCGCTGCGGTCACAGGCTTCAAATCGAGGGGGGGGCGAGAGGAATGGGGCATAAGGTCCAGAATCCGCATTCTCTGCTGGGGTGTCCTCTGCTTCGGAAGGTGGAAAAAGGCCCGTATCTGACGGATTTTCGTGTTGAATGCAGTCGTTCGAAAGCGTTTTATGCGGGACGCCACAATGGGGACTTCGGTGTAGAGGCAGCGGTGGTGGACGTGGGATGATCTCCGGCGCGAACTTTGCGGCACGAAGCACTGCACTGTGAACATTTTCATCTTCGTAGTCATAAGACTCATGATTAATTAATGCTGGATTTCGTATTGCAGTATGTTCGTCGCCTGCCACATTCTGAGACTCAGGGTTTTCGTGACTGGATGGGACCTTGTGCTCGTGATAGGCGTCATGCATGCATACAAAAAGCTTGGGTGAAGGCACCACAGGTGGTTTAGGAAAGCAGCTGGTGCTATCCTCGATCTTGGTATGGATAGCATCTGCAGGGCTACCACCCTCCAATTGGCCTTCCTTTGCCTCTGTCGGTAATAGCTTCTGGCGGAAACCTTCGCATCGCTGAATGAGTGGTAGTTCAAGGGGTACCATCAGCTTACATTCTGTCGTTATCTGCGTCCACCACAACGAGAATAGCTCCAGTTCCTTGTAGGGTGAGCTTTCCGTGAATGCCTTCAAGGTGTCTCGTAAGGGGCTCGCGTCTTGCAGCTTTACCTCGTCGCATGCTAGCGTCGACTTTTTGGCGGTTGAGTCCCCATTGGGAACGCATGTCTCAGAGGTTTTATTACCATTGTTGCCGCTGCCCGCTTGCTCGACCTTGTTCGCCGCGCTTTTTTCAAGGATCGGCTTGCCGTGTTTATCCATGACGATAAAAAGTCCATCTGGGCGGCAATACAGCCCACGTGAGACCCACTGACGTTGGCTCCAGCACCCCGCGTATATGGACTTGTCGGCATACCGCTTGATTGCGACCATCCTGCGTTGCTGAAGCCGCGAAAAACACGCGTTGCACACCCGCTGGGCGTCCAGGTTAGCCCTATTGATCTCACCACCTTTAGCGTTCTTGGAGAAATGATCCGGCAGCGTGGCGCGGGGTTGTGTGCAAGCATCACAAAATACATCTCCGCAAAGACGGCAGTGATGGCGCCGAAGGAAGAGTGAGAAGCTGGTCTTGCAGTTGGCGCAGTCTAAAGTCAGGCGGTCCTCGACTTTGACTGGGTATAGAAAGCAGTCGTCTCGCTCTTTCCCCTCGTGGTATGTCGTTTCGTAGAGTTCGCTAGTGATGCTATCCCATATCTTGCAGTAGCCACTACTGAGGCCGCGCACCCATTGACCCTCCATCGCATAAAGCCCAGAAAACTCGACCCCCTTGCCGTGTTTGAGCGAGGCGACAAACTCGCCGTAGTACACGTTCCCACCCTCAATAAGCTTGCCTTTACCGTTCATGTTTCCATTACGAAATTCCCCGCTGTAAATCCGACCGTCTAGGTTCTGTAAGACCCCCGTACCACGCCGCTCGCCGTGATGCCATTCCCCGTTGTAAATCGAACCGTTTGCCTCGTAGCTCACGCCACGGCCATGAGGCCGTCGACGGCTGTCGACCTCACCGTGATAACACAACCTGCGCAGCTTGCCTCGGCGAAAAATTCCATGCAGAACGGAGCCGTCGTCCAAGAAGTAATTCCCTTTTCCGCTCCACAGGTTATGCCGAAACCAACCCTCGTATTTCTCGCCGGAGACCATAATCTGCGTTCCGTAGCCATGCCGCTCCCCGAAGCAAAACCCTCCGTTGTAGTAGCCTTTATTTTCCCCTCCCCACCACAGCTCCCCCCAGAGGTGGGGGATGGATTTCGAAGTGTAGCCGGCGTAGATGATGTAATCCGTGCTCGGCGTTTTTCGACTTTGGGATCGCAGGAGAGGGGGGATCGCGGGCGCTCCGTCATCGCATCCACGCACCACTTCCCTTTCGTCGAGGCCACCGGGCGATCTGAAGAGATTGGAGGAGGAGGAAGGAACGTCCGACAACGTCGGGAGAGGCACCTCCGCAGAGTTCGACGAGGTCAAAGACTCCACCTCATCGCAAGGGTTTTCTTTTTCCTCTGCATTCTCGTAGCGTCCTCTTGGGTCGGTTGGGAAGGCGGGGTTTCCAAGGCCATCCGCTGGTTTTCTGATCTGCATCGTGGTGATGACCGAGGGGACGGTTGTGACGTCGGAATCTGTTTCTATGGGAGGCACCGCCTGATTGGGATCCATTCCAGACTCCTCTTTTCCCTCGGGGAGGTTTGGCCTGTCGCTTTCAAGGGGCGATTTATTCCTCTCTGGAGTTTTCATCGGTACGGGAAAGAGGACGGAGTTGATTATTTGCATCGGGATCCATATAATGTTGGTTTGAATCCCTAGCATTACCGAGCGGGTGCAGTCTGTACATACCGGTACAGATGTGATGCCCTGCGCGGATAAATCTCTGTAGGTTTCAAAATTAGTATCCTTGTTGACGATTTGATTTTTCGCGTGCTGCAGGACCCGCTGCTGCAGCATAAGGGAGCGGGCGATCAAGGCGTCGATGTCAGGCTGCCGAGATGAGGTGGATTCCATAGGAATAAGGCAAGACGCGCAGCCAGAGCGCATGCACAGCGTGCACGACTTTGGGGAGCGGAAAAAGTTGTAGTTTTTTTTGCAAAACGTGCAGCAGTCCACCGACGTTGGGGCGAGGTCCTCACCGCCTTTCCCTTCGCTAGACCGCACAAAAGGACGCTGTGCGGTGGGTGTGTTAATCCCTAACGCAACGGTATTCGCCTCCATTTCAAAGGACCTTTTGGGGTAATCCTTATCCATCGGCTCGCCAGATCTGGCAGTTTCTTTTCCATCCCCACTGCGAGCCCCTTTGGCGGGCGCGACAGCCGTCTTTGGCCTGTCGACCTCCTTCATCACAGCCCGCAACGATGTGGTGAAGGAGGAGGTGTGTGAGGGCACCTGACAGCCTTTTGGAAGGTGCCCCTCGTGATGCAACCGCTGCAGGTAGCAATCAAACGCCGACCCTGGCAGATACGGCGTTACCATCATGGGATAGTTCCCAATGAAAAAGGTCTGCACCCACACTCCGGAGGTATATAAGACGATACTCAACCCCTCATGCTCGCCCAGCGGGATCGAGCTCGGGGCCTTGATTGGTGCAATCGGAGGCGCGTCGGAAGGGGGTTTCCCCTTGCCCAGGGCGTCGTATCCCCGCATCACGACCTGCGCTATGGTGGAGCCCCGCAACGCGGTGGTCTTTTTCATCACCGCCACCTCGTTGAGCTGTGGTGCAACGAGCTCCTTGTAGGCCGCGATCGGGAGAACCCGCCTATTCCACCTCCCCATAAGCACGTAGTCATCTCGGTAGTCCACCAACCCCCGCCGCAGCGGCTGCGTGGGGCTCTCAACTGAAGCTGGATGGTTCTTCTTAACCCCATCCTCCACGCCGGATGGGGCCCCCCAAAGGCTAAAAACGAGATTCCGTACGTCGCTATCGGGTTCTTTTAGGTTGTCTGAAGTGGTTAGGTAGCACGGCGGGCTTGGGCTATCCTTGGTGAAGGCCTCAGGGCCGGGCCGCGCATGAGGCACGTCTGGGCGGACGTAGATCGGGTTGAAGGTGTTTTTCGCGTAAAAGTAGCCCTCCCCGCAGGGGGTATTCTCCCGCCACTCCCCCACATACACGGAGCCGTTGGACATCCAAAGACGGCCTTCCGGACCGGCGCGTAGGCCGTTCGAGAAGGGCCCGCAATAAACATCGCCGCTGGGAAACGCCCACACCCCATCCTCGGTCTCGAGCACGTCATCCTTCCAACGCGCTTTGATGACGTGCTGACGGGGAAACCAGCCGTCCGTCGGGCGCGAGGGATCCTTCGATGGGGGCGGCTTTTTTTCATTCGATCGGCCGATCGTGGCGACGCAGGGGCCGTATAAATCATACCGCCGCTCCTCCCCTGTCGGGCCCACGCCGTTCTCCCCTCGCAAAGGGAGGAAAGGTAGGCGAAGAAGGCCCTCCCCATTGCGAAGGCCATCTTGAAAAATGCCAAAAAAATCCATCAGGATTGACGGTGATGGGCGACTCGCCAACACCGCCCGCCTCGTGTAGACTTTCCGACAATCCTGATGTAAAAACGTTTCCACGGCGAGCCGCAGACGACCAACGCCGTGAAGCTCGCGACCATCCCATTCCCCATGATAGCCTTCCACAAAGACGTCTTGCTCCCACCAGCCCGCCTTAATCAGCCTATCCGCGCTTTGCTCGACGCCGAAGCCTTGACGAACGTCGTCGACGAAATTCCCGCTAAACTCGCGGCCGTCCTCGGCGTAGCGGTGATTTCCCGCCCCGTGGCGTTTATTTTGGTGGAAAAAGCCATAATAAAAGTCGCCGTTGCGATACCAAAGCAGCCCTTTGCCATGCATGTTCTCCCCTACCCACTCACCTTGATAGCATTTTCGATCCCTCGCACCCGTAGGGGAGGATATCGCCGTCTTGGTGATGGTGTTTTTAGGCGAGGAAGAGGATTGCGTGATGAGGGAGGGGGACGAGGTGGAAGGTTCGCACTCTCCGCTCTTTCCCACTGATCCTTCCGACGGATTGAGCTGCGTGGAATCCTCTTCGTGGACGGCGATCGCGCTTTTCTCCCCTTCGTCGTTCGCGTTCCAGAACACCGTCCCTTTAATTCGCTCCCCACGCTCAAAAACACCCACAAAGAGGGAGACGCCAGGGAGCTCGACCGTGCCGTTTCCCTCGATGAGGCCTTTGCTGAAATTCCCGCGAACGATCGCGCCTTTCCGCTTCAGCGTGTACTTTCCTTCGCCATGCCGGATGCCGTTTTTCCAGTTCCCGACGTAGACGTCGCCGTTCTTAAATCGCATCGTCCCATGCCCGTCGATGTGATTCCGGGAAAAGTTCCCGTAGTATTCATCGCCGTTGGTGAAGACCATCACCCCTTCCCCGCTCCGCAGGTTATGCTCGAGCATCCCTTTAAAACAGGTGCCGTCGATGCTTTGGATCGTTCCTGCACCATGCCGTTCATCGCGTTCCCACATCCCTTCGTAGATCTCCCCATCCGCCCGGAGCAGCTTCCCTTGCCCGTGACGTCGGTTGTTAAACCATTTCCCTTCATAGACATCCCCGTTGTAGTATCGCATGATTCCATACCCATGACGGAGCCTTGATTTCTCCATATCCCCAATATATTCTTTCGGCTTCAGCGCCGTATCCTCAAACGGGGAAAGATACGAAAGACCCCGCAGCAAGAGGGTGCTGACGCCCAAATCGAGCGCCCGATCACCGCCGTCGTTCGGATAATAATCAACGTAGCTTCGTTCGTATTGAATGACCGCTTTGCCGTGCATATGACTATCACTCCAACCCCCTTGATACGCAAAACTCGAGGTGATCAGCACCCCTTCCCCTTCAAACCGCCCTTGTGACCACTGCCCGCCGTAGCGATCCCCATTGCGGTAGATCCGAAAGGCCTGGAGGAGGGTTTTTTGGGTACTCCAGGAGAGTTCAATTGGTGCGGATAACGGCGAAGAAGAGGTCGAAGGGGGGGTTTGGAGGATGTTATTATTTCCAGCCCCGGCGGGGTTGATCGTAACCACCTTAAAACACGCGATCCCGCGGCCTTGCGGGAGCCCCGTCGAGCGATCCACCTCGCCGTAGTAGACGGTACCATCGGAGAGGCGGAAGGTCGGCGACTGCGAGGCGAGCTGCGGGTTGAACTCACGCACTTGCTGCATTGAAACGGGGAGCGTGGTGAACTGTGCGGTGTAAAACTGCATGGGATGACCTAAAAAAAGAAAAAAGAAAAGAAAATAGAACGAAAACAAAATCCACTAAAACGACTAAATTTATAGGACTATGCGTATACAGGTGCAAAGAGAAATAATTATATATGTATATATATATCTGAAATGTTTGCGGGAAGAAATCAATGCTCACTGCACACTCAACTGGTGAATGTGTAAAGAAAGGGATGTAAGACCAGTTATGAGTTTCATTATAGTACTCATTATTCTTTCCTTCCAACGGGAAATGAGAGAAGCTTAGATGATGTGTTAGTTATGGAGAATTTTCTTGCTTACTTTGCCGCATATATATTTTTTAAATTACCAATATAGTGTAGATGGAGATTAATATTGTAAAATACAATAAAGATTCGATAAAATTAGTTGTACAAATCACGCATGAAAAGATAAACACATGAGCCAAAGCAGACAGCAGATGTTATACGTCAGAAAAGAGCAAGTGCCGCATACGATCTCGAAACGAACCTAGCTATCCAATCAAACGACCATGATGGAGCTTCGCAGCAACGGTGATGCAACATGCAAGCAGAATTGACGTAAATATTACTTCTAGCTTCCAGAGTTATCCTTTATTTCTTTTTTTTCTTCCTTTCCAAACCCTTTATCACGCCTGGTTCGTTTAAACCCATCAAGGCCACTGTTGGAAGATGAGCGGGATGCAACCCGGCGAGGTGATGCGGAAAAATGCGGCGCGAAATTGCATATACACCATCGCCCCCATCAGCGAGAAGATGCCAAGCCCCATCGCCATCAGTTGCACCGCCGAGGCGTTTTCCAATTGATCCACACACGAAAACATCGGCATCATACTCCGCGCCCGATTATACTCCATCCGCTTTCGACTATCGCTAAGGGTGTCGTAGGCGTCGTTGATGACGGCCATCCGCTCGCGCGCGGCGTGCTGCGCCTCCGCGGTGCTCCCCACCCGATCCGGATGATACTGCAGCGCGAGTTTGTGATACGCCTTTTTGATCTGATGCTCCGCCGCGTTCTCGTCGACGCCTAAAACCGCATAAAAGTCGGGAAGCGTCGATTGCCCGTTCAACGGGGGGTAAAACCGGGCGAAGGGATCGGCCGCCGCCTCGGCGGCGGAGCCGTTTCGCGTGGTGCGATCCGTTTCGCGTTCCCGATGATTTTCCCGCGCATCCTTCCCCAGCCTTCCGCCGACTTCCTCCTCCATGCGAAACCACGACTCCACGCGGGTGGGGCCGGTGGCCTCCTCCTCGCGCTCCCGCGCGTTCTGCGCGAGATCCTCCGCGGAGGCGGGAAACGCGCGTTCGAGCAGCGCCCCCACCGCCTCCCCGGCGACCTGCGAGCTCATCATAATCGGGAAAAAACACGCGAGATACAGCAGATGCTCCCCCCAAAACATCGCCGCGCTTTCCCCCGAGGTGGCGGAGGATCGCCGCGCGAGAATCGCCCCCGCGGCGCGCACGGCGTACGACAAAACCGTCTCCACCCCCGTGCAGGCGAGGTAGCGAAGATGGGGTTTGAGGACCCGCCATCGCGAGGTGGGGTAGCGCCGCTCCCGGTGGTATTCCAACCCCCAAAGCGCCTGATTCACCCCTAATCGGGCGAGATCGGGGATGAATCCGGTGGATAAAATGGTCCGCAAAGGGTGCGCCCGATAGGCGTCGTCGAATCGCCGAATCGCGTCGGAGGAGGTGAGGGAAATCCGCTCCGGGGTAGGGGTGGCGTACCATAACGAGGTCGCGATCGGAGCGGTCGGAAGTGGTTCCTTCGCGCGCGAATCCCCTTTTTTCCCGCGCGTGGAAAGTCGAAGGCAGCCCCGCAGGCATCGCGGAAGCACCCACGACACCGCCCGCCATAAAAAACGCGTCGTGAGCCCGGCAAATCGATGCTCCTGAATCAGCGGGTACACGTAATGGTGAAGAACGGCCTCCTTGCCAAACCCCCCACCTTTGATCAGACAGGCGGCCGAAACGACGCTTTCCGCGAAGCGGTAGACCATGCGTTGTGCGAGAAGATTGCCATAAACGGTGCTTATCAGGCGTAGATTAATTTTGGAGCGAGCAATTAAGGAAAGAACGTCGTAATTGCACAAGGATTCCGCCACATCCCCTTTAAACGACGGGCTATGGAGGTAGGCCATGAAGAAAAAATAACACGTTTCCACATTATCCAGCACGGCGCCTTTGAAAAAACTGTAGTTGAGTTCTTTAAACATCCGTCGTCTCTGTCAAGATGCTAAGAAGACAAAGACGATCCAGTAAATAGCCTACACACACACACACACACACACACACACACACACGCAACAAAGACGAACCAAAAGTAGGGTAAAATTAAAAAAACAACAAACGACCAAATAAC